ACCCCTGCTCACCTCCTCCAGGCTGTTGACAGTGGTCTTGCAGCGGCCCATGTGGCTGGCGAAGGCAGAGGTGGTGGGCGAGCTGAGGTCCTCCTGCACCTGCCGCACAAAGTCGCACACCGAGATGGGGGCCGCCATGGTATCACGGCAAGGCGGGACCAGAAAGGGGAACTGCTAGCGGGAGCTGCGGTCGCACCGGTGCTGGGGTCACGCTGCTGCCAGCAGCGAGGGCAGGAGGGAGCCCTTTGCCTTGCACACCCACACCCCAAACAGACACACACACCCCCCCCGGAGTGTGCACACACTGACACAAACCCACACACCCAGGCACACAGCAGCATGGCTACAAATCCTGCAGTTATAAGCTGAAATATTTTGAGGAAGCCTGAGGCAGACATACTTTGAGTCACAGGGAGCCCCAGCCTAGGGGTGAGGTGGAAAACACAGCTGAGCATGCCTGCAAGAGCCAAGGGGCTGCCCGGGCATGCGCGCTGGGCGTGCTGGGGTGCACTGAGCTTGCTGGTACAGACTGGGCACTTGCTGGGGTGCACAAGATGTGCTGGGACGCACTGGGCACTGCTGGGGCACACTAGGCACCGCTTGCAAAGGCAACGTCCCGTGTGACAAGCCCTGCAGAAAGCTGGGGGTGATGCAGCACTGCAAGCAGCACCGTCGCACCCCAGGGCCCTGCTCTAGCCCTGTGCAGGTGCTATGCGACCTGAGCCCTTTGCAGCCTGTTTTGCTCCCCCTGCAGCCCATGGGGCTCCTGGGGGGAGAGAGGGCTCCCCCTTTGCTGTTCTGGGGCCCCCACCCAGCAGCTGAACTCTGTCCCCCCTGGGGGAGCACCATGTCTGCCCCACACTCACACCTGGCTTCAGGTGAGCCAGAGTCCTCACTTCCCCTTTACTCTGCCCAGCTAGTTTTTGCCCCCAAACTTACTCTATTCCTGCCCCATTCAAAAGATAATTGGGCAGCCATCTTCACTATAAATCCCCATTATCAGCTAATTTCTTTGGAAATGCAATGGTCCCTCTGAGCATCATCTCCTGCACCAGGATGAGACCCCTCAGAAGGAATCTGTCCTGTCAAAACTCAGGGTGAAGCACCTCCACTTGACATCAGATCATGTCAGGGCTTGTCTGTGCAGAAGACAGGAACCCTGGGGCACCAGAGACCATTCTGAGCACAAGTCTCATTTAATTTACATCAGCCCAACACCACAATACAAATTCATGCTGATGACCCCACGCTGATGTCTCCGTGCTGTGCTATCCAGGAGGAAGGGCGAAGGGGCATCAGTGAGGACTGCCTGCAGCAGGCTGTCCCTGGCTCCAGAATGCAGTTACAAAACACAAGCAGCATCGGAGAGAGCAGCCAAGGAACTTTTATTCCTGTGGAAATGAAGAGCCAAAATGAAGTTTGAAGCAAGCCTGAATCCAATCCAGCACATGCAGGAAAAGCTGTTAAGCAGTTTGTAAGGAGTAACAAACGGAAAGTCTGTGTCCTAGGGAGTGCTGCCACATCCAGAGCCAACTCCAAGAGCTGTTCCTGTGCTCTTGGCACAGCAGGAAGCTCATGGCTACCTTGGCTCTGTCATTCTTCTCCCTGGGGAGCCCCATTCAAAGGTCTTCCAGGTCCTACCTCCACCAGGACCCTACACCAGACCTGCCTTCCCCCTGTACAATGTGTTTTGAATTCTTCAGGCAAAGGCCTGGGAAGTGCCAAGTGTTGTCAAGCTGGGGCATGGATGGCTCCGTATACCCCCATCTCTTGAGATGGGTGTTAGCAATGGGGGCATGTCACCAGTCCTCCAGCTGCTGAGCCAGAGGGACATGGGTCCTGCGTAGTAACTGGTAGCCTCATGATACTGTCTTACATATTGTAAGGTGTTTCAAATGGCGCTTGACATTTGCATCCTTATTTTTGAGCAAGCGAATCAGTATCATTAGGAATGTTAGGTCATTAGGAACTTAAATGTGAATGTAAATTATATGCCTTGATCAAGTCTATTGGAATCGACCCTCTGTAAATACACAATTACTAAATGGAATAAAAATCCTACTATAAATGAGCATTAAATGAAACAAATAAAGGTGATAGACATACTTTGTAACTTATATTAGAAATTTGGTGCACCTTAGAGAAACTTATATGTCATTTCATTTCATCTAATGTTAATTCTGTTGGTGTATGTCAAAATCACCAATACACAGTTCACAATCAATTTTCTAGTAACAATCTCTGAGCAACCTGATCTAGTTAAAGCTGTCCCTGCTCACTGCAGGGGGGTTGGGCTGGATGACCTCTGAAGGTCCCTTCCAACCCAAAGCATTCTATGATTCTATGACCTCTGCCAGAATCACTCTCAATGGCAAGAGATGGTTTCAGCTGCCATGTCCGCAGCAACAGCCCCAGCAGGCCCTGTTTGCACACTCTCCCACCCCAGTCACACAAAGAACAATTTTTTTCCCAAAGCTGTAACTGTCCTTCAAGAACTTTGCCTTATTTAGTAGGTTGGTTACTTTGTTTCTTGGCATCTCATGAGTACTTAGCATGAAATGTGACTCCCCAGAGGCCACTTCTGCAGGTCTCACTCTGAAGTTTGCTTCTGCACCTGCAGGATTTCCTCAAACTTTCTGGTCCAGTCTCAATTCCTGCAATCACCACCCCTGTCTTTGAGTAGTCCTGTGCTGCAGAGCATTTATCCATTGATGATCTTCTCGCTGATGTATCCAGGCATGGTGTAGATCAAAAGAACCAGGAAGACAGTCAGAACAGCGACAATGAACAGCACAATGATGTATTTCTTGTACCGCTTCCAGATAAAGAACACAAAGGTCTTCATAGGATTCACAAACCAGTTGAAAGAAGTTTTTGGCCGGCTGGAACAGGAAGGGAAGAATGGATAAGCACAGGCTCAATCCACAGAGTAGCACGTTGGCCCCTCTGCTTTGGTGCCCTGCCACCCTCATGTGTTGCCAGCTCTTCCTGCTGCTTCCAGACTGCAATAACTACAGTGCCTGTGAACGCACTGGAGACAACAGGACCTGAGCGTCAGGACAGCCCCCGCAGTGCTGCTCTGCACCCATGTGGCTAACGGGTGCATTCACATGGTTAAACCAGAGCTGCCCTTTTTGTACAAGCGATTTTATGGCATAGCTACCTTGAGTACCTCACCAAGATCAGCCCTGGCCCGGATGCTGCAGCCACAAGTCCTGCTGGATCCACTCAAGCTCTGGGAAGCCCTGGCAGCCCCAGTCCTGCAGACCCCACTGCCCAGGGCCTCACTGATTGCTCTCAGTTTCCTGACATGCACCTTGTCCCCATGCAAACAGCTGCTGAAAACATGGCACTGTCCATCCATGTTAAAGGTGATAACACAAATACTCACTTGGGCTTTTCCAGGGGTTCAGGCTCTTTTCGGCCCAAACCAACAGGACTTTTCTCAGCCTCCTCCACAGTCAGCAGCTGGAACTCCGCTTCCACCTTACCCTGGAGGGGGAACATGTCTGAGCCACAGCTGCATGTGTTGCTTTGCAGACCAGCCTCCTGACCACACACCCTGCCAGAACTGGGTATTTTTCTCCCAGTTCCACTTACAGATGCTCAGAGCAATTAACTTTTCTCTCCAGGCATTAGCTACAGACTCTCTCACTTTGCAGCCAGCAGAAACTAGCCTGGCCAGAAACTAACTGTTTTGCAGACAAGGCACCATATTGTAATGCGCTCCCCAGCTATCTGGATTTGTCTGCAGCCTCCCACACTGGCACTGAGCAAAACCCACCCTTGGGGACAAACAATGATCCACCAGCAGGGCCATCAGCAGCAAGCCTGCCCTGGGACAGTTGGCACCTGCCTGTCTGGGGTAGGCAGAGACCCTAGGACAAGATTGTGCTGCTGTCCTGTCTGGTTGATGGAGAGCCATGTGCCTCCTGCTTTGCTCCCCTCACTGAGCACTGCTCTATGGGAAGCACAGAGGAAGACATGAAGTTGGACACACCCTGCATGCCACTGCCGCTGGCACTTCTGGGTAGATGAGGTGCTGGATTTGCAGCAGACGGGACAAGTCTCCAGGCCCCTGCACAAGGTCCTGGGCAGCTGGGTCATTGCTGCCTCTGTAGGTCATGTGCATGCAGGAGAGGTCGCCATGTCAAGGCAGAGGCAAAACACTGGCTCTCTGCTCTCCTGTGCCAGCACCCTGCCTTACCGTCAGGAGGTACTTGTTCCCACTGGGGTCTGTGAACTCCACATCCTCTGGTTTGACTGAGCTTCTCCACTTCTTTTTCTTCTTCTTCTGCTTTTCCTCTCTTTCCTCTCTCTTCTCGTCTTCTTGATCTTTGAGTTTGATGAAGGGCCACCAGCCCCTCATGCGCTTGTTTCGGAAGATGGAGAAGCGAGGTGTTGCATTCTCCTTGGCCATCTTGATGGTGCAATGCTCTGAGCTCTTCGCTGCCCGCACCATGTCATGCAGCTTCAGCTCAATGGAGCCTGCAGGCACAGTCAAGACAAGAGCTCATGGTGAAATCCTGAGATCAGCCCCACACACCATTTGGCCTTCTGTCTCAGCCATGCTCCCACAACCACGAGGAGGTCCCAACTGCTGCAATGATCTAGCAGAGTCCTGCACATTTACAGGTGCAGAACCTGAAGCTCAGCATAAGAAAGGGCCAGCCCAAGAGTTAGAGACTAAGAAACAGAAGCCACAGGTCTTGCCTCGTCTCTGATGTGGCCAGTTTGGTTTGGGTGTGGTATAGTGGGCTGACTCCTTTACCATGTCCCACCCCGCTCTCCTCACATGTCTAAGCTCCTCTTCCCCTCTCATTCCTGCAAATGTCAATAAAAAATTATAAAGTCTGGGAAACTCTTTAAAGGTTTCAAGTTTGCCTTACATCTGAAACAGCCTCAGCTCATTTCCCTGCTTAGCCTTGTGCCCTGTCCTCCTTGAAAGGAGCTCACGTCCCACTTGGGCATTGAGCCCTTGTAACAAATCAGTCTTTTCACGTACTAGCCTGTATTGGCAAAAGCATAGCCAGCAACCAAGGGATGTGGGTATTCTCCTCTGCTCAACTCTGGTGAGACTGCATCTGGATACAGTGCCCAGTTTTGGGCCCCCAAAACAAGAAAGGTGTCAACTAAAT